ATGGAATGCATGGAGAATGATACATGTGATACTATAATATGTATATTAGTATTTTGCAAAAAAAAAAAAAAAAAAAAAAAAAAAAAAAAAAAATTTAATCAAATTGAAAACAAGTAAGGTATAACTTGTTACCTTAAGTCCTTAGCAAACTGGAGAATTTTAATTTTAAGAGAAATTAAACAAAGAGTATCCACACTAGGTAAAAGAAGAATTAGCTAAGGGATATTTAGGGTTCTTATAAATTTTTTTGATCTCTTTTATCAAACTGAATATCATTTTCTTATCTATGTAGCCTTGTAAACAATTCCAACAAATTGTTTTTGGACTTCCTTAAACAATTCCATAATTGTTTTGGAGTTGTAAATAATTTCATAATTATTATGAAGTTATTAAACTTCTTTAAATAATAACATTTAATCACAATTAACAATTTAATTCTTAAATTGTTTACATAATAATTTAACCCTTAAATTGTTTATATGTTTACAATTACAACCCATTGTTAAATTCAATTTAATATAAAGAAAATGATTAATTATGAATTGAAATTCCATTTAATTCCAATTAGCAGTGTAACTCTTAAATTATTCATAATAACTAATATAACCCTCAATTGAATCTAATTCAATGATAATAATATAAATAACTTTATTATCCTTGGTAGGTGCTAGCCAACCTTGGATAATCAACTCTCTTTAGCTATTTCTCTATTCTCCTTAGTTTTTATGTGTGATCTCTTAGGTTCACTGTGGCCTAGCCGTGGGCCCAATATCATAGTCTATTCCGATATGTTTTGTCATAATTCTTTATGACTAAAACTCCTACGGATTATGGTAGGCATCTAGACGGATTATGGTAGGCATCTAGCAATGCTCCATAACCCCTAAGTCACAATGAAGAATGAACCCTTTTATAATCATATGCACGATGTAATCAAATCCTTTTGTTGTCTAATCCCAATTAAGAATGGATTCATGGTATGTCAAAATCCTTATCTTAATTTATATCAAATTGACAATCCATACATATGAAACGTGTCACCATGAAACAACATTTTAGGTAACATTTTATATACCCTGACCGAAGATTTCCTTTTTCCAATGTATCTTAACATTTGTCTAGGAACTTGATATGAATCTATACCAAGTCAACGGATCCCACCTTGACTATCACTTGTTTTCACACATAAACAACACATGGCCAAATCGACTTATGAACACATGACATGATTAGCCTCGTGTTTATACACCATATGAACCGTATGCGTTTATGTAGAATCCAACCGTGATATCTCAGGTCTAAGGATTAATAATATACTAGTACAATCTTACGATGCATCATTGACTACATTTTAAATGTCCATGTGATTTATCATAAATGGCCATATTCGATAAACAGTACACTAATCGCTTATCCATGCTAATGCCTTAGTGATATAACTTTTATAATCACCCACACTAATACCATGATATGATATTTAATGGAGGCATTCAACATGCTTACTATATAATATTATTGCCTAATTAATATTACCTATGTAGGGAATACTTTGATGATTTTTATCTTCTAAAGATTTGTATTATCCAGACATTTCATATGTAATACATATATATGAATGAAGCAATAAACCACATGTGAAATAAGAACACTTTCTTTTATTAATAAGATAAAAATGTATATACAAAATATATACATTAATATATATATACAAAACATAATACCTTGGAACCGACGACACGATTGGTTCCTAGGGCATATACTAACAAAACTCCCACTTGCACTAGAGCCAATCGGTGTGGTATCTAATACCCATTTTCTCAAGATGATGATCTAATTGCTTATGTGTTATCGCTTTAGTAAGTGGGTCAGCTACATTATCCGCTGAAGGTGTTTTCTGCACCAAAATTTCTCCAGTTTCAACAAGCTCTATCAAAATATGATATTTACACTAAATATGTTTTGATTTCTGGTGTGCTCTTGGTTCCTTTGCTTGTGCAATAGCACCATTATTGTCGCAGAACAAGGTTATCGGATAACTCATGTTCGAAACCACGTCAAGTTCAACTACAAATTTACGTATCCATACACCTTCTTTTATTGTTTTTGAAGCGACAATATATTCAGCTCCTGTAGTGGAGTCAGCAGTGGTCGATTGCTTGGAAATTTTCCAACTAATTGCTCCTCCACATCTGATTGAAAATCAAAGTCTAAGTATCCCTGGATTTTCAATTTTGAACCTCCATAATTCAGTATTAAATCTTTTGTCATTCTCAAGTACTTAAAAATTGTTTTAACTGCTGACCAATGTTTCTGTCATAGATTTGATTGATATCTGCTCGCAACACTTACAACATAGGCTATATCAGACCTTGTACATAACATTGCATACATAAGACTACCTACGGCTGAAGCGTAGGGTATATTACGCAGCAACCGTTTTTGTCGCTACAGTGATGGAGTGCGGCCTGGATGGACTGTTTTAAAGCCTAGTATGAATTTGACTTATTCGAGGCATTTAATTATTTCTTGATTAACCTCCAAACCCTAGCACTATAATTAAGGGTCTTTAATTAGTTTTTAGAGATTAAGAAGAAGAGAGAGCGGCTACTATTTTGGAGATCAGAATTCTTGCAGTTTTTGTTCACCAATTAGAGAAGTTTTTTAATTTTCTTCCTTGAACTTATGTTATTGAATACAATGTTTGTTTTTAGTATGGAAAGTATGAACTAAATTTATTGTCTAGTATGAACTAAATTTATTGTCTAGGGCTAAGATGTAGCCAAATTTTATGAATATGCATTGAATTATTTGTTGTTAATTTTTATTAAGTTTTGTTCTAAGTTTTATTATTGCACTAAATGCTTTCAATTTTTAAGGGCATGAGAGTTGAATGATTTTATGGGTTAAGTTGAGATCAAGAGAGAAACCTAATTAGTCCAAGGTAATAAAATCATAGATTGAGTGAACGCTAGAGATAGGTTACCGCGATTGGTGAGGCTCTGGTAAATTCCATAGAACTTAATAATCTTTTAACTTCTAAATCTAACTTAGAGATATTTTGGGTTGTTGCTTAAGGGTTAATTCACTAATTGTTCAAGAGAAAGTTAGTGAAATATTAGAGAATTTGACCTTTAGAATAAGCTTAATTAGGTTAACAATAATTGTCAATGTATATGATTAAATTGGTGTGAAATTTGTGCCCTAGGTTTAGTCATATAGATATTTTTATCAAAGTATTAATAAAATTCTGCTTTTGTTTAGTTTTTAATTAGTTTTATTTTCCATTAAATCATTCTTAAAATCTTATTAATAAAATAGTAATAAAATATATTAGTTTGGTATTTGGTAGTAGTAGTTCTCTTGAGATTCGACACTTGTTACTCGAACCTTATTACTTACACAGTTTCGTATACTTGCGAATAGCTTGTCAGAAAGACTCAGTTGTGAGTGAGGTGGTGGCTGGTGAAGAAACATACTACAATGGTATATATAATTGTTTCATGTTTGTTTAAAGAAGCGCGAATGTTATGTTTGGTGAGAAAATGTGCTTATTTCTTTTTAGACAGAGATTAAAAAATTGGATCAGTAGAATCTTAGTTTCTTTTCACAAATTGAATATTTCTTAATAGCATGTGCTTAAAATTTTGCTTAATAATATCATCAATTCTTAGTTAAATGCATGTTAGGGTTTATAGTGCTTTCTTTTTCTCATTCTTAATATTATTAATTTGTTCTTGCATTTTATATGAAGTTTTAGTACTAATTCTCTTGGCCTTATTTTGTCTTTCCAGATACTGTTCCTAATTTATACATACTATGGCTTTGGGCATACAGCTATTGAATCGAACTCAGTGGGGCATGGTGACCTTGGGTATGATAAGCTGCATGATGATGCAGGTATGAAGGAAGGAAGGGAGAGCCGACAACTACATGACAACAAACGCCGACTAATAGACCCATTTTGGGATGTTGCACATGATGAAAATGAAGTTGCTGCTGGTGGCTAGGGCATGGTGGCGGTGGCGACGACAGTGGTGATGGTGGTGGTGGTGTCGATAGCGGCGATTATGATTACTTAATCAGATTAGGTGTTCCAAGTGACGTAAATGAATGATAGAGTGAATATAAAAAATTTATCCAATAAAGGTCTAAGGATGTGTATTGTATATTGTATGCAAATTGGAATCAAATAATATATGATGAATAATCTCCAGTGGAACGACGCATGATCGATCGAATCTGGCCAGTTGTGCATCGATCTTGCCGTTTTCAACTAGATCCATCATGATCTGGCCTGAAACGACCATATTTTAGTCGTCGTTGATAGCTTCATTTTTGGGAGGTATGTTTGTTAATTTTTAAAGTTTCGTTGTGAGAGTGTTTTTGTTAATTTTTAAAGTTTTTTTTTTTGGGGTAGCTAAATTAATAAATATAAGAGGTTACACATAATGTAAATATTTTCAAAAAAATGTACCAAACAACTATTGAACAGTTTATCTAATATAATTTTTAAATATTATACTAAACACATTCTTATAATCTCATCCTTTTATATTTAATCCAACTCAATTCAACTTAAAATAGTTTATTTAAAATATCATATTTAAAATAATCTACCAAAAAAGCCAATCATATCACTCTTTCATTCATTTTCTATCATATCACTTTGTATATAAATTTTTTTAAAATTTCTTTGTATTTATAGTATTACTCTTATTTTAAATCATGATAATGGACGATACTATACTTACAACCCAAATTCAAACTTTTTCTCACTTTGTAATTAGTCAGCTCGTAAATGGGTCTCGCTTGCTTGATATAAGTTTTGTTTGCTCAATTTCAAGTTAACTAATTGTAATCTGCTAAGTTGAGATTACGAGAGAAAGTTTGTAAAATTAAATTATGTATCAATTTTGATTGACTGATAATTGGTGTTAAACCGGATCAGACATTCTTATTTCATACTCGGGTCATCACTAATCTGGTCAGCCCGCAGATAATACTTGGTCTTTAAATTAAAAAACTAAAAAATAGTATAAAAATCTCAAAACCCCACCATTTGTTCGATCGTTCGCCCGGAATATATTGAAAACAACGAATCAGTGGCACGGTGGGACATCAGAAATGCCGCCAGAGCCCCCTCCTTTCCAGGAAGCAGCACGCTGCGACGTTTGCAAATGCAGCTTCAACACTTTCCGGCGTCGGGTACTTCTTTTCTTTTTTCTTTTTTATCATTCCTTCAATTTAACCAGCTTTATAAATGCTTATTAACCAATTTGTGTTGATTGATCCGATAGATTTATTACGTTTGTACACAATCCGAATTTTAACATCCAAATAAAATTAGAACATCTGGATTTATTAACAGATTGCTGTGAACTGTTGTGATCCATAAATCTAAAGTAAACGTTGAATGGCTTTTGGATGCAATTTTATTGTACAATTGGGACTGAACTCTTACTCTTTTTTGTGTGGCAGCATCATTGTCGATGTTGTGGCAGGACCTTGTGCCATGAACATTCTGCGAATCAAATGGTTTGAGTTTGGGAATTTAAGTGTATTTTTTGTTTCTGAAATTGAGCATATGTTTATTCTGCTTTCTGTGATTGAATTCAGGCTTTACCGCAATTTGGCATTCACACCGATGTGAGAGTTTGCGCTGATTGTTTTAATAATTCTTCTCGGTAAACCAATCCTGACAGACCTTGATAGTATTTCTATTAGTTGTTTTGTTGATTTTTTACATTGTGGTATATTTTCGGAAAACTTTCATGTCTTTAAAATAGGATAAGATACTTGATATAGAGCATGCCCGCATTTTCTTAGGCTCTTTTTGCCGATAAAGGGGAGAAGGAAATGATTAGTTACAGCTTTGAATTTGTTTTCCCTTTTGTATGTTCTCAATCCTAGTTAGTTTGACTGGAAAATGGCTTCTTATGGCTAGCAAAACTGGATCCCCTCCTAGTTGCAGGGAAGGAACTAGACAGCTTTTTACTAGGAAAGAATTTATACAATTAGTAGATACGAATAATATTATACAGTAAATTAATGCTTAAGTTTTATAAGCCTTCAATTACCATAATCACACATGTATCATCATTATCTACTCAAAACAGCTTCACTTGTGTAAGTGTACAATGCATTTTAAGTTAATGCTTAATAAATTGAAATAGAGCAATGCAAACACGTGTGTGATCCAGAATTTATATAGGGCTAGACTTTTTTTCCCCTTCTTTTGTTAATGTTTGCTAGAAATTTCTTTCATCAAACTTCAACTATACTTGAAATTTTTTTTAAACTTATGAATCTAGGTTTGGAGAAAGAGGGAGAGAAACTTTTAGAAATTAAAGAATATACATGAAGGATATATAGATTGATGTATAATGAATTTAAAGTTCAAAAAGGTAAAAATAAAAGCCCAAAATCTCATGTGCAAACTGCAACTTAACCATTCGAGAAAGACATGCAAATGAAGAAATATACAATACAACATATACTATTTAGCTGATATGAAATTAAGCTATCTATGTTCATCTAAATTAATTACAAATTTCTTGGGCATATCTTATTTTAGTGTTGTAGAAATTGAGAACTTGTTTCCTCCTCTTACTCATTTGAGGATGTTTTTTGTTTTTTCTCTTTTTGCCTTATTTTATGCACCCTCTGTCTCTAAATATCCATTGTTTCCTTAACCCCTTAGGAATCTGGTAAAATTTTGCTTCTGCAGATTATTAATAACTAGGATTGAGCTGTTTGGTTTCCTTTGATTTATGGTGTTTAATGAATATAGGATATCTGGAAGTAAGTTTTTCATTTTCACTAGATCACAGATGACCTCATCCTAAGGTTCGGAAGTTATTCATGAGTCAGCTCTTTCTTCTTCTTTTGTTCTTTGAGATATGTTTATTGTTGTAGTATTTATTCTTCTGCTTTTTGACTCAAAATAAGTTTTAGTGGCAAGCATTTAAAAACATGTAAGAAAAAGGCAAAACTTTAGTTGGAGTGTTTAGTCTTTGTCTCTGGCAATCAAATGATTTTGAAGCAAACTCTAAAGATTCAGGAGATGTGTTTGTTTGTTATGAAGGGATTTGCATCTCTGTGCTTCTGACTCCATTAATATACTTAGCTGATTTTTTGCAGCAAAGATAAGTCTGTTAAAATAAAAAGCATACAACAATGGACAAGTCTTCCATAAAAAAGGGACAAGCTGTCCCAAAACCCCCAAGGTCCAATAATCTATACAAAATGGGAAACACATCTCTTTTTCCAAAATAATGAATGCTAAAAATCAAAAACCACTAATCAAATTTTGCAGAAAACTTCCAGCTTTTGTTTTTCATTCTGCTGTTACTCTGTTTTCTTGTTTACTGTTTGGACTTTTGCTACCTCCTGCATGTTGGGTGCAATTGAAGAACTCTTTCTGTTGTCTCTATCAAGTTTTGATTTCTATGTACAGAACTAACAATTTGTGGATTTTATTTTGCGAACAGAGCTGCAAATGATAATCTTCAGACTTCTCCAGATGGAATTAATCCTGTAACAGATACATTCGCTAGATTAGACATAGGTGCTGATGTGGATGAAAAGATGGAGACAGTGGTGGAGCATCACCCTGTTTCAGGCGTTGTAGAGTGCAAGTGTGGTATGCCGTTGTGCATTTGTGAAGCTCCAGCTCCAGCTCCAGCCCCAGCCCCAGCCCCATCCACTGACGCACGTCCCCTGCCGGTATGGATTCTACAATAATTTTATATTTGTTTCGTGCACTTCTTGCTACTCACAGAATATTATTTTTGATGCAGATGAAAAACGCTTCTAGCTCTACGGCTCAGTCAAATCCGAAGCCAAAAAAGACAGACACTGTTCCAAGAAATAGAGGTTCCACCTCAAACAGCAAATTTAGGTATGTAATCTCTGGTTTTGATGTCCAATTTCTGTTCTTCCAGGACATAATGAATGAGTTTTTGCAATAGATATTGTTTCTCCATAAGTAGTTTGTGATGCAGGTTAGCAATCAAAGGTGAGTAGTTTAGTTTATGAACAAACAATCTGTTTTGAACCACAACATCATTATTAATCTGGCATGACGTGATTGAATCTGACTAGAGTCCATTTGATTTCAATGTGATAGCAGAATTGGTTACTCTGATGACACTTTTTCTCTTAGTCATTATGGTGCATTATCATTCAAAAGTTCTTGTTATTCATTCCTGTAGAGTGCTTCCTTTTTACCAATTCTGTTTCTGTTCAGTGCAAGCTAAAGTTCATTAAGTGTGTCATGGGCTTTCGGTTTGAGGCATAACTGAGTCCATGCATGCTAATCTCATGATTATCTTATGCTTTTCAAGTTTCAAGTGGCCCATATTCTCAACTTTATTGCTTCAAGTGCAGAAATATAATTTTGTTTTGCAATTGTTTTAGACCAAGTTTTGAATTATGAGTTTTCCTCTTCCTACCACCAATTTACCATCTCAATTGATCATCTTGCTTTAATTGCTTTTCTTTACACCTCCAAAACTAAACTCACTAATATCCAACTTCATCTTGTGGAAACAATCATTTCAGTTCAGCATATAGGCACTAGGATTCTTCTCTGATGCTGCAGGAGAACTTGCCTCAAACTAGGATATTGGGCAATCTTCTTTGATATCTATTTCACTTTCAATGGATTGAGTCTTTTTCCATTCTTCTAACGCTCATTACTCCTTTCATATTCAGTACTTTCTTTCCTCTATTATTTATATGTAAAGCTATCATGTTCTTTATTTTGTTTTGACATTGTACTTTTGTAATATGTGAGTTCAATGTCAAATCTTGCTCACTAACACCATGTGGCATTTTTAAGTGTGTAATTGACTTGTACAAACTTTGCAGTTCTGTTTTCAATCCTGGTCAAGTGACGCATGTTGCCATGGATACTCCTCAGATGGATTATGATGTCAACGGAGAGGTATAAACAAGATTTTGCCTTAGAGTTTCAACTTTGCTGAAGTATTCTATTGGCTAGATCATTTTATTTATGCATTTGTAATTGTAACTGCATGTACTGTCCTTAGGGTTTAAGAGAAGCTATAAAGAATGGAGATACTGCTGCTGTCAAGAAGCTACTGAGTGAGGTATTTGTTATTGTGTTTTAGAACTGTCACTAAAAAATTACTTAAAAGAGGTACAAGTCAGAAAATAAACTTAAAACATTGACAATGGTGGCAGGGCGTGGATGCAAATTTTCATGACAAACAAGGAATGTCTCTGCTACATCTAGTAATCACACTTCCCCCTTTTCTTTCTCTTGGTGTGGTCAGTGCATCACGCTTGCATGTACATGTTTCAATGTGTGTTTGCACTCTCAAGCATGAGTATGTTTGCATGATATTGATTCATTTACTTTAAAAAAAGTGTATCCTGCTAAATTGCTACATGCTTAATGGATGCAGGCGGCACTTTTTAATCGAACTGATATAGCTTTTATCCTCATGGAATGTGGAGCAAGCATGGACTACAGGAATGCACAAGGTATTTAATATCATTGCATTAGTATTGATATATATTGGGTTATTGATTTGTGGAGGTAATTACTAAAAACAGTCATGGCATGGCAATAATGGATGACTAGCTGAAAATGTCAGTATGTCCACCAAGAAGCCAGATATGTTTTTAATGTTCTTGACAGTACAAACACCGGCTAAAAACTCCTCTACTGGACCAATCAAAATATTTTGAGGACTTTGGTTTGTTAGTCTAGTTTTTCCTATAACACAATGTCACCTTCCATCTTTCTAACAGAATACTTTTACACTTATTACTGCCAGATTATGGTTTAGTAGAGAACATGGCAGTGGTTCGCTTAAGTTGTGGGTGTTGGTCTGTCGCTTTGGCTTTCTTCTCCAACTTCAACTCTTAACTAATTTCCTACTATTTCAGGGGAAACACCTCTGGATTGTGCTCCAGCCACTTTGCAGTACAAAATGCGTCAAAAGATCGAAGAGAAACAACTGTGAACAAGCCACAACAACATGAGAGAAATTGGTTACGCAAGTTGTCAGTTTCGCTCATGGAATCGTTGTATACAAGTTCTGCCTGGATTTTTATGATATACAGATACAGGCGCAACTCCTGGAGTGTGAATCAGAGTTCATTTCCAAGGTAATAAAAAAAAGTTATCAATATTCCTGCGGCAAAGGAGCAAATATTTGTGCATGACTTTAAGTGTGTAGTGGATGTGTGAAATAATTTTTTAAGCTTGACTTTGTATATACAGATAAGGTGGAACTTATATGAGGCTGACCGCCCCTTATCATTTATATTTTTGATATTATTCTATCCTTTAGAAAGTATCATCTTCATCTGGATGTGTGTTTGCCGAACTTTAGTCTTGTTTAGATTCGAAGCTTTCTTTAACCGGTGTGGTCATCCATATTTTTAATTTAGGGCTGCCTTTTTCATTCTTTTGCTAAGATCAAGAACATCATGGATAAGATCAGTCGATTCCCCACGTTTATATTTATTTGATATATAGCTGAAGCTGGTCAATGTAAATAAATGTCGGTGTATTTTCTTGACTAATGGAATCTGGGGAAAGTTTATGCCTAATCTGCTGGTATAGTCCTTATCCGAAACATATAAAAAAATTTAAATACTGTTGTTATTGTGATAGATATCTGAAATTAGAAAGTTTATGTCTAATGATCTAATCTGCTGGTTTAGTCCTTATCCGAATTATACAAATAAATGTAAATACTGTTGCATTTAGTTTTGCTGTTATTGTCATTCATACATAGATATTAGAAATTATGTTTCAAGCATGCATAATAGACGTGTTGTTGATGTTTTTAGTGCTTACTTTAGAGTCATAAAGATGGTGTTATCTTTAAAGCTAAGAAAACTAATTTGGTCATACGACTGAAGGGAAGGGTGTCAGCGTTATTAATTTACATATTATGACCTAAAAGTGAAAGAATTGATTAATGTGTTTACTTGGAATGCCCATTTGTTAAAAGAATGTGGAAAGTGGAATGACGATGCAGAACACGTAGGAACAATGTTGCTTACTTTGGATGGTTGGGTTATTAGAGTAATGAATGAATAAGTAAAAGCAGATTGGCTGGACTCATGATAATGTTAATGTGGGTTTCTTTCTTAATCTTAGGTGTGATTACTTTATAATTAAATTATGAAATGATTTGGTAAAGGGGCAACCGTGTATTGTAATTTAAAGCTTTTATTATTAACTTTTGGAAGTTAAGAGAGAGAGTTGGTGGGATGTGAGTAGGATGATGGTGTCATGACAGGACCCCTTTCGTTTGTTGATGTGTTGAATGTATTCCTATATTCCACACCTAATAAAATTTGATTTTTAATTAATTAATATTCATTGGAATGATGAAATTGAGGTGACCATTAAAGTCGATAGGAGGAAGAAACAGACATCCATGATGAAAAGGATCACATGATGTGATGTGATGTGATCAAAGTTTCTGTAGCCGACCACCCTTCTTCTTTCTATTTGGTGATTTAATAAACAATTGATCCATCACAGTTCACAACCTCCCTTTTATTATTTATTTCATTAATAATCTTTATTCTACAATCATAATGTAATAAAACAATGAGTTTGAACAATTAAATCAATAATTCTCATTTCTTAAAGTTGGAGTTAGAATGATTAAGGACTTAAATCATACAGAAAAGAAATTGATGTAATGTAATTGACATAGAATCAAATGGCCTGCTCCAGTTAGCTTTTAACTTTAACTTTAACCCGTCATATTCTCTTTATCTAAACAAACCAGTGGTCACTTTTGCTTTGGGTTGTCTTGTTTTGACAGAATTAAGATAAATCAAACACCCAACTCACTGATACAAATATAAAGACACTCACACCACCCCCACTTGTAACTTCACCAATCCCCCACCACCACCACCTCTCTTCCCATTTCCCTAGGGGTGTTCAAAAGTGGTTAACCGCTTTTTTTAACCGAACTAGTTTTTCAGTTTGAAAAAATTCTCAAACCAAAACCGAACCAATTTGAAAGGAAAACCGGTTCTTTGGTTTTCCCTTTTTTTTTATTTTTTCTTAAATTAAATTGTAAATATAAACAATATATATCCAAATAAAAATTAAATATTCATACAGATCCATTGACCACTACTAACAATACATTAAAAATATTATTATTTTTTATTTAATATTTATATATATTTGTAAAACCGGTTCAAAAAACCGGTTTCGGTTAACCGCTTTTTATTTTTTCTCAAACCGAAAATCCGGTTTTTTGAATTTTTCGAACCGTTTTTTTTGGTTCGGTTCAGTTTTTGCATTTTTTTGAACACCCCTACATTTCCCCTTCTTCACAAATTTTTTACAATACAAATATATACAATTTATGAATATAGAATCCACTTTTATGGTTTGTGTACATATAACATGCTTAGTGTCTTGTAATGTGTCATTCCATGGTATTAGGTAATGTATGTGAGTGACATGTGTGTCTTTTGTTAGCAAGTTTTTATTGGTTTGGGAGGGTGCAAAAATTGCTATATAAATTCCCCTCCTGTTTGTAATTTTCCTTACCAAATTGAGAGAATCTTCAATAAGAAGCACTAGCTCTTTTAAGCTATCAAACTTTTGTTTCATTTCAGTTTAGTCTCTCTTATTTTGTACTCTTACAATGTTCTAAAAGAGGGCAACTCAGCGTCCCAACAAGACCGTGCAAAAGCAACAATATTCCTTTGTCATCATATACACGAAGGATTGAGAAGTGAATATCCAGTTGAGTTGTGGAAACATTTGAAAGAACGATTTGATTATCATAAGTCGATAATGCTTCCTAGAGTACAATACGACTAGACAAATATGTGACTTCAAAACAATCAATGAGTATAATTAAATATTATTAAGGATTGTTTCTCTATTAAGGTTATGTGGAGAAACATTTTCAACTTTTCATCCCTCCAACATGCTCATGTATTAACAATATAGGGAATGTAATTTCAGAAGATATTCTGAATTAATATCATTCTTGCTTATTGTAGAGCAAAATAATAAACTCTTATTAAGGAACCATTAGACTTGTCCAACTAGTAGTGCTCCATTCCCTGAAGTGAATGCCACTAACAACGGTGGTACTTGTGGACAAGATCATGGTAAAGGGCGAGGATGGGGTTGGAATAATTCTCGACCTCAAGGTGGTTATACAAAGAAATTCCCACCAAGCCACCAATCAAATAGGCCTAAAATAGAACAAGAAAGGGGGAAATACTCACACAATAGATCATCAAAAAATGATGAAAATATATATGTTATAGACGTGGGGGTAAAGGAAACTAGTCTTATAACTGTTGTATGCCAAAACACCTAATGGATTTATACTAAACATATATAAAGAATAAAGAAAAGAATTTTGAGAGATCCAAATCTTGTTGATCTTAATTTTTTTACTTTTAATGAATAATTAAAAGGATTGTTGTTGATCTTTGTACTCAAAGGAATAGAGCAAAAGTAAAAGGGTTAGAATGTTATTTCTTTACTTTCTCTAGTAACCCAATCAGGGTGTAGTGGGTACAAATCAGAAGAATCAGAGTCTATTATAGGAGTTCTTGAGAACATGTGTCAAGCTTGGCCATAACCTCTTCTTATACAAGTGGTGGCTTTAGTGATGGAATAATCTACACATGTCATAACACTTTCTTTGAATTTTCACCGTTTATGGATAATTATATTTGATCTTATTGAGAAAAAAACTCAATGAGACAAAAACCTAAACAAAAAAACACAATTATTTTATGAACATTATAATAGTGCTAGACGTACTTAGTACTGTCTAGTTACAAACCTTATTAGTATCTCATTGAATGTTTTTCAAATAAGATTAAATACAATTATCAGTAAACGGTGGAAATACAAGCGGAACTATTGTGGTTGTCCACTTAGTGTCTTGTAATGTGTCATCCCATGGCATTGGGTAATGTATGCGAGTGACATTTGTGTTTTTGTTGGCAAGTTTTTATTGGTTTGGGGGTGGCAAAAACTGCTATATAAAAACTAAAACACCCCGCCCCCCCCCCCCCCCCCCCCCTCTCTCCCCTCTTCTCTCTTTTCTTTTTAAATTTTTCTGTAAGTACTATTTTCGTTTAGTCCCTCTTGTTTTGTACTCTTATTCACCTCATTATACAACACCGCTGTAATAAATAATTTTGAAAATAAGCCAATGCATGACGAGCCTCCCATAACAGGAAAATAAAATTAAAAAAGCCAAAAACAATAAAATATAATACACCTCTTAACTTAGATGATCAATTTCACCGACACGTGTCAATCTGACTCACTCTCTCTACTTAATTAAAAAACAAATAAATAATGAAAGCATTTTACCAGCTTTGCCTTTATAAACAGCCTGCTGCTATCTTTAAACTTCCCCCTTTCTCTTTTTCTCCTTCCTCCTCTTTACTCTTCTTCACTTTTTTTTTCTTGCCCCGTTCTTCCTAATTCCTTCTCCATTCTCGCTTCCTTCTTTCAAATGGGTTTCTTTCTAGACGACGTCGACGCAATAGTATCCCACGTTCTCTATCGAACTGCCGTTGCCATTACACTTCTCAGATGGCTCGTAACTTGGGCCATCCGATTTCGCAACAGAAACCGAGACTCCTCGAATCAACACCGTCCGTCGCTCACCTCAGAGACGGTAAAAGAAAACCTGGTTCTCGCGACTTTTGGCGACGTGCAATGGAGGGTTCCGGAAGTTTCCGAGACGTGTGCTGTGTGTTTGAGTCACATCGAGGAGGACGATCTAGTGCGTGAGCTGAGAAATTGTTGCCATTACTTCCATAAAGACTGTATTGATAAATGGGTGGATTACGATCGGCAAAAAACTTGCCCGCTTTGCCGCGCCCCGTTGTTGAATCACTCTCAGACGAGACGGCTGCCCAAGAACGAGCCTAGTTGGGCGGTGGAGAGATTTCTCTATCTTTTTGGCGACGATGTGCATATGCAAATGCGTAATAATTAGCGTAATTGATTAAAATTTAACGTGGTTAATTAATGATTAATTAGGATTTGGTGTTAGTTATATTATTAGGAATTAATATAATCTTGTTGGCGAAATGAAAATGCCAATTTTGTAATGTAAACAAAAAATATATGCGGCTCTTCACTTGTATATATCTATCAATATATCTTGTTCTATTATTCTTCATTGATGACAAGATTCTGAATTATATTTGGTATTGCATAAGTATTTTGTTTTGGTTTGGTTTTGTGGGAACAGAATCGTATGAAGTTTTGGTAAAGTTGTTATTGGAGTATAATGTCGGTTTCTTCAATAGAATAAAGGAAAAGTGGGAAAATAGTATA